AAATAAACAAACGTTAAATATTGATATGAGGGCAGACATTAGAATACTATGTAGAGAGATCTGGAGCAGCGTGATCTACAAAATATGATACAAAAATGTGTCTATATAAAGGGGGAAAGGTTTAATTAATATTTCCGCAGCGCACTAAATGCAGGGGTGAAGTGAAATAAAATACCGTTTATTTTTTATTGAGTATAATTTCAGATGTTTCTACAATTAATGTATTTTTCTCTACATAAATTTTTCTAACACAATACTTTTCCAAACGAAATCTCAAGAGTTGAGGACTCTTAGCTAGACTCTTAATTAATTGAATCTCTAAATCTTACATGGATATTATGTTAAATTAATTTCGCTCACAAACAGTAAGAAATATATAAATAAAGGGGAATTTTAAACTGAACCTTCAGGCTGCGCAGCTTTATATGTAAAGAGACATATCCTGATATCACATGGAAATTATTGCAGATAATAACAAGGAATACTGACACATTTAAAAGTAGAACCCGGAACCCGGGATAGAAATTAAAAGAGTAGTATGATACATGCTATGGACTTTGTGCAGCCCTATCGGACAAGTACGTATTAGATGCGAATAATGTGATGTAAATAATACAAAGTAGAAATGTTCGAGAACAAAATAAATAATAAATATGGCATATTGCGCATTCCTAGATCAATATAAACATGTTGCAATATAAAATTCTTGCGATTTGGAACGTGAGCATTTGTGTAATATACATTTTTACTTTCAAAGCATCACCAAAAAAATACAAGGAATATAGACAGCCAACAGTGACATATTTTATTAAAGACATTAGCGTTGAGTCAAGATAATTGACCATCGTCAAACGAGTTATCTCAAAGAGTTCTCCAATAGCTTTTAATTTAAATGACTTGTAAACAGTACACACTTTGCTTTTGTTGTAGTGTTGCGTAATTTCCTAAAATCAACTGCCCCTGTTGCGTTAGTTCATTTCGGGTAAAATACTATCAATCTCAAAAACATGATCTACAACTTCAACTCGTATAATTCAAGAAATGTACATGTTGAAAATGTTTCAATGTAATTATCTCACCTATTTATAATATTTTTTCAATACGTCATGTTACTCGTGTGTTGTTTGATCGCAAAATACCTTTCGTGAACACGCAAAAGTTTTGCCCATGAATCACTAATACTGCGAATAATTTATGTATTTGCTTTCCAACGTCCACTGGTCTCTTTGATGTGGGAACTTGCATATGCGCATGAATGTGTGTAAATCTGTTTATCTTTCAACGTGTAGTTTTTGACCTCTAAACGCGATAAGTAACAACAGGGGAGTACAAAAACTCTGTGTGAATTAGCAAAGTACAGTTCAGTGAGTTGACAGAGCCATGTCATCAAAAGGGAGAGTATTCATAATTTCCAACACAGATAAAGTAGGGCACATGTTTTTTTTTTTTTTTTTTTTAACAAACAAGCACATCATACGTTTTCCGTTTTCTGTATTTGTTACAGAACATGTGATAAAAATTTCATAAACGTTATTACTTCAAGTAGTTTTACATAAAATTCACAAATGATGGGTGTTCTCAATGAAGTTTATAAACGCTTATTGAAAATAAAAACGAATCAGCTCTCCAGTTAATTAGATTGCATATATCTAGAGACACATATATAATCTCATTTAAATGATTAAGGGTCTCTGCAAAAGATTTCCGTCAGAAATGTTAGTATCATCTGTTGACACGCTTGATTCGTTTTAGAAAAAAAAACAAAAAAAACTCACAAAATTCTCTCGCGAGCGAATCAGAGGAATTTCCAGGAACAACGGGTCAAAGCGACGCGTAATTGACGAAGTCAACTGTTCCGGTAAATTGAATTAATGTAATGAATGGAATTCTGTGTGTTTGTATTGTAATTGAATTGGAGTTTTTGGGACGGAAAATAAACAGACGCGGGGGACGAGCACCGGCAGGCGCGGACGACGCAACCCGCGGGGTCGACGTGCGTTGCGGGGCAGCAAAGTCAGCGGCGCAGCGCACGGCGGTCCGGCATGGGACGAGGCGGCGAAACCATCACGAAAGTTCACCAGGTCATCTGCTTTCAGTTTATTCACAAGAATCAAAAGGAAAAAATTTAATAGCATCTAAAACGAAACTATTTAAAAAATAAATCAGAAGAAATTGACCTCAACTTGTCACGGAATGTCTAAATCTATGAATGTCAGCTTTTAAAATTGAAACCCTCGAACGAACTTAGAAAACAATAATACTTCCTGTAACCGAAAGATGCGCAGTGTGTTTACTTTGTTATTAATGAATGGGTTATAAGACTTAATGAGCACCATTACATAAATCCACAAAATAATGATGTTAACTTTTATATTGTGAGTTCATTTTAATAATTTTATTATGATGATAATCATTACTGTGATGATGACACTATTTGATTAGGGCTGTCAAATGGAGCTGTAAGAAACTTCATGACCCTAGCCCTGTAATGGACCTATTATAAAACGAGTATCATTATGTCTTCATTATAATGCTCATTTTCAGAGACAAAGTAAAAGCCTCTTATTTGCTTGAAACGGACAAGTAACATTACTTTTGTAAGAACACTCACATAAAATAAAAAAGTTTACCCTTGCGTTTGAATTACAATTAAGTGGTTGAAAACCAGAACGGTATAAGTAACATTTTATAAATTCTGAGAAACCTGTTTTTTAAGTCTATATCAAGTAAAGTCGTGATGCTTTGGTTCATCATTAAAACCTCGGCATTTCAATTGGTTATTAAAACCACGACAATACGTTGAAACTGAAATATAGCCTAAAATAAACACGTTTTTCTGTATATTAATAAAATGTGATTTATACCGTCTAGTGTTCATCCATTAAATTTTAAGCCATTATTTTCATTACAAATCTATTTTCTTCATTAAAATGTATTTCGTCCAGTTTCCATAATCCATTAACTAAATACTGAAATGTTTCCTTCTTTTGCTTCTGAATAAAAAACCTAGGTAGCATATTTTTGAAGTATCGCATGCTTTTTATTAAGCAAACTCTTGCTATTATCTTTGGATTTTCTTACAGAAATGAATCTAAGATTCTCCAGTCAACTCATCTACTATATCTAATTGAATATAATTCGTGTTTGATAGACACATTTTATAATCTACAACTAGTAAAATCAAATGGCATCTTACAATAAAAAGGTAATAATAGCATCTTACAGTAAAATATACTGTAAGAGAAAGTCAAAGAAGTGAAATGCCTTCCCACAATCTATAGTTTCAAAATAAAAGTAAAAAAGTGTAGTTTGATAGAAAATACGAACGTATATTATACAAAGGAACCATTATCACAAACTCGTATGTTAAATTAAACTTTTCAAAGGACTAAAGACTCTCGCGACAAGATTTAAAATTAATTTTTTCGAGAAATATTACTTTTCTACAAAGGAGAGTTTTAGTTGGTGTTTGCTTTCTTAGTAATGTTTTGAGGAAGAAAGATCATAATATACACAATATTTCGTGTATCGTGCACATGCAACGTTAAGAGATAGCAAAAGTCACAATATAGAATTTATGAAAGAACTTTAGAGAGAATTGAAGGAATGAACATGCACATACCCAAAAGAACTTGCTGATTTTACTTGGAAAAAGTACAAACTTCTTGCAGAGAAATTTGACAAAATAGTAATTCACATTATGCTTTAACTTTTAAAATAGGTTTACAAAACGTATTTCAAAGAGAATTTTTTTCTGTTTTACGTTTAGATGTGCATTTTTCCATTGAAAGAAAGAAAAAGAAAATCATAAATATCTTAGTGCAAAAACATCTCCCTATGCGCACCGTCGATTCCAAACATAACAAAACAAAATGTTTTTACCTGTTCTAAGACTTACAACCTGGTACCCGGTACAATCTGTGGGAATAATACGAAGATGGTAATGAGAAAAAGGGGATAGCGGGAAAAATAGTTTTAAAGACTTTCACTTGTGGTATCACGACTAATCTATGTAATCACTTCCATGAAGAACCAAACAAAACACGCAAAAACGCCCCGCCGAATTTCGTGATGCTCGAAGAGGCATAAATTGCTCTGTAACTCCAATTCCACTCACCAGGATCATGCGGTCCGTAAGGTCGGTCTTCCAGCCATTCGTTACCTGGAACCAAAAATTGATCGTTTTGTTGGCTTCAATATTAATTAGAGAAGCAACTACATACAAGAAAATTAACATAACGAATCCTGCGCCAATATGGGCCAATCGATGTGGCTACAGACTTGGCCGACATTTTAACTTTGGAGAGGTGCTTTACATGAAGCCGCTGGGATATTTTCCAAATTTTCAAAAAAAAAATGCTGAATTGCTATTGATTAAATTTTGTTGTTGGATAGTCTGAAGGACATTTCAGAAAATGGTGCAGTTCTAGTGTCCGGTAAAAACTCCAATTGTGTAAAAATACAAAAATTCAAAAGTTTTACAGCGTCTTCCTACAACTTCAAATATGAAGATAGATATTTTCCCTTGATAAAATATGTTCTCTAAAAATAGATTTTGAAGTAAGATCATGTACAATTTTTTCGAAAATTTGAGTACTTTTTGAAAAGTTTTGCGTGAAAATGCGGACGAGAAAATACGCGCTGTTTAAGTACTTCTATTTTCCTGAAGCGGAATAAGAAACGAGGTTCGGTGCGACTTACCGCGAATTTTGAGGAAGACGGCGCGGTTCATCTTGGGGTCGGTGTTGACCTGGCACTCGTACTTGCCCTCGTCGGCCTGCTTGGCGCCCATGATGCGCAGGTTCCACGCCCGGGACGCGGGCGTGTGCAGCACCCCGAAGCGGTCGTCCGAGGTGAACGTGAACAGGTCGGACGTGAGGATGTGCAGGTCTCGGGTCCGAATCCACGACACCTGCGACAGCGGGCAGTCATCAGCATTTAGCAACCACTCTGAGAATGAATGTAGCTGGTGACGTTTGGGGGTTGGGAGTACTTTAAAGACTTACGCCCAACTAAAAAGGAAATGAGAAGAAACAAACAATTTAGTTTTAATATCGAGAATTGACTTGCAACGAAGATTGATGAAACGCACATATATTTTCTTACTTCTCTGTTTGTAGTGTATACGAATATTATACATTCTAATAGCCTGGCACAAGCAAGTTGGCACCCTTTTATAAATTATTAAATATCAGTAGAACATACTGAAATGAAGTTGTGCTTTAAATCTCGTCAGTAAGAGAACTATTACGAATTTTTTGTACTGTCTTGTATTGTACTAAAGCCACAAGTTTCTGGTAGATGAGTGTATACTGTATTATAGAATAAAAATACTTCCAGGCCGACTTAAACACATAAGGAAACCTAAGCACCATAAAATATGTGCGACTAATAACTGAAATTCTTGTATACCTGTAGAAAAAATACGAAATTAAAACCTTAATTTAATTTCCTATTAAAAATATCCAACACTTTAAATACAATAAAATGTATATGTTTATATTTACTTGAAAAATAGTAACTAGTGTGTTAAAAAATATCCCATTTGGATAATTTCCCATCTACATATAAATTAATCTAAATATCAATATATCTATGTAATTTGTATTCTATATCCTATTTTTATGAACCATTTTGTTTGCTACTCACTTTAGTAACTGACGTTGAACATTGTAAATAACTGCAACTGTAATTCACAAGTAACTCAATGCTATTCTGCTCCCTTGCAACAACCCTATCACAGCCTCGCGGGTCTATTTTCCACTTTAATCGTTTCTTGATCGAATTATCCAGCCGGTGGCCCATCTCAAGCCAGCTAGCGTCCCACCTGTTCCGGGAAACGGCCTCGTCCCGCTTAGTTACTTACTCCTGCGTCTCCTGCCACACGCACAACAACTGTCTCATCTCAGCTCGCCTACCTCACCAGAATCACCTGCCACCTCACTGCCCATCTATCAATCCCCTGGCCCACCTGCCCGGCCCCGCCCCCGCCCCCGCCGCGTCCACCTCCAACTCCACCGCCGACGCCTCGCGCGCCGAGCGCCAGGCCCCTAGCGCTTGGAAGCGCGTAATTGCGGTAATTGGTCACAGTGCGGAGATCGCTGTTGCTCGAAACTACCGCCTGCGCGGCTACTGCTCCTGGAAACGAAGTGGCGGAGATGTAAGATGGTGGGGAAGAGGCGGGGGCGGTAACGTGAGGCGCAGTGAGATTGGCAGTGCGAGGTGGCGGCGCTGGCAAAGACCGTGTGAATGACGCGGAGGTGGCGGTGGTGGGAGTGGCCGTGGGTGGTGGTGGTGTGGCGGCGGAGTGGGGAATGGTGGCGGTGGGGCGGATGGGAGCGGTGGCGGTGGCGGAGCGGTGGGGTGGCGTGGCGGGTGGCGGGTGGCGGTGGGGTGGGTGGCGGGGCGGTGGCGGTGGCTGGTGGCGGTTGCGGGGCGGTGGCGGGGTGGCGTGCGGTGCGGTTGGCGTGGCGTGGCGGTGGCGGTGGCGGTGGCGGCAGGTGGCGTGGCGGTGGCGGTGGCGTGGCGGTGGCGGTGGCGGTGGCGGTGCGCGGTGCCGGTGGGCGTGGCGGTGGCGTGGCGGTGGCGGTGGCGGTGGCGTGGCGGTGGCGGTGGCGTGGGCGGTGGCGTGGCGGTGGCGGTGGCGTGCGTGGCAGTGGTGGCGGTGGGCGGTGGCGGGTGGCGGTGGCAGTGTTCGTTTACGATGACGGCGATCATGGCGCCGGTGGTAAGCGAGGTGGCCGGCGGTGGTGCAGGATCAGCGGGGGGAGGTTTGCGGTGGCCGGTGCTGGGGGGGGGGGGGTGGCGTGGAATGATGATGGTGTCGGCATAATGGTGGCGGCGGTTGGTGACTGCGGTGGTGGCATTGATAGCGCGGGGTGGGCCGGGGGGGTGCGAGGGGTGCAGCGGTTGTGGCGGGGTGACTGGCGGCGCGATGCCATCGGTTGCGGTGTTGATCGGGACCGGGGTAGCAAGGCCAGGGCAGGACGCCGGCGGCAACAGTAATATGCAACAGAACCAAATACGAAGGGCGTAGCGGGGGTGCGCGCTATATCGAAAGCGGGCCGGATGGAAGGAGCGGACGCACACGCCGCTAGCCGATTGTTTGCGGCGGCGCTCCAACCGGAGGCGCATTGTGTGGCGGGCCTCTTTAGAGCGCGGCGGCGGTGCCGCGCCGCCCGGCGCTGGCGCTGGCAGCGGCAGCGGGGGCGTCTCAAGAGAGGGGACGCCACGCGACTCAACGACGCCGTTTGGTGACAGACCTAAATGCAGCCTTTACACTCCACTTGCTGCCAGATTTGGTTTCAACCAATTGTCCCGTCTAGCCTCATTTCATTTAGTACTATAGTCTCTTTCTGGTATTTTACCTAATGGAGATTCAAAAAACAGTGCAATTTATGGCAAACAAGCGTAATTGTCACAAGAAGGCTTTGAGGTATTTTACACTTTTTTCATTTTTATTTCAAAATTCCTTAGTTTTAGTTTTTTGTCGGAAAACGGCAAATTTTAGACAGAAAATCTCTTATAGACGGGCCCGGGCCTTGCTAACAAAAAAATGTGGATAAATTTTGTTGCTATACATATTTCTATACATACTTTCTGTAACACGTATCACAATCCCTGTTTCTGGTTCCTTGAAACCGAATTCAACGATTGACGGCAAATGGACTGTCTGTCTCTCTGACTGTCTGTCCGTCCGTCAGTGGTCAATGCTAGCACCAAAATCGTTCAGCCGAGATTCTCCGGAATTGATATTCGTCGATCAATCTGAACAAATTCGACGCTTTGTGACTTTCAAATATATATTTTGAGTTTTGAAGATACTTCACAGGAAGCCGCAACATTTTCAAATTTTTTTGAAAAATTACAGGAATAATTTTGAGTAAATTTTGTCCTTGGATAGAGTAGAGAACGCTTAAGAGAGCGGTACAAGTCTAATTTTCGTTAAAATCACTAATTTTTGGAAAATTGCAAAAGTTTAACGTTTTGCCGAATTCCTACAATCAAAATAATGAAGATAGAGATTTCTTTTTTGAGTGATGTCGACTCTTTGAAGACAAACCTTCAAATAAGGTCAAGTTTAAGGTTTCGGAAATATGAGTAGTTATTGCGTAATTTTGCGAAGAATATAGGCAAAATTTAAACTTGTAAAACTTTTTTTATAAAAAAATTCCAATTTTTCATTAAATTATCTCCTCGTATTTACCAAAGGACAAAAGAAAGGTTGGGTTGGTGTTATTTGCTGCAATGTCTTTGCGTTTTTAAAAATTGCAAAAAGTTTATTCATTATAACTATAATATTGAAGATCTTTGTGTTAATCAAAATCTGTTCTAAAGTATCAGCTATTTAAAAATGGTCATGTAGAATTTTTTTTGAAAAATAGTAGTTTTACGTCATTTCTGGTTAAAATTAAATAGTACAGATTTAAAGAACATTTTCTTAAAAACTGTTCGATTTTTCCCTTATTTTTTATATAAAAGTATATTAAAGAAGGGATCATAATTAAAATAATTATGTAGGTCAATTTGAATTTTCGAAAATAGCATGGTGGGAAAATAGGATTGAATGAATATTAACTTTTTATATCCTGAGTTGGACCATCAGTCCGTTTCTGTAAGGTACTCGTAAGGTGCAAGGCGAGTTAACTCGGTGGACATGAGTTCACGTATCGGTGCGGAAAAACATTTTTACTGGTTGAAAACACTTTTGTAAGTTCAAGTAGTAGTATAATATCGCGGAGTATTTAGAAATAATGGGTGAAAGTATGTGCTGTTGTTGAATCCCTGGTTTATTTATTATCCTCACCTGAGCGAATGGGAGACTTGACCACGACGTATTCCCTCCACCGTACTTGTCTTACTTGTCCTGCCCGAGTTTTATATTTCGTCACAAAGCTAAAGAAAACGAGACGATTTGTGTTAGATGCTTCATTTTTACCCGGCCAGAAATCGAATCTGGAACCTCCTCTTGCTAGCACGCTGTCCATGAGACACCCGAGGTATGTAGAGTATAAAACTCTTATTAATCAAATTTTGTGTTGGAAGTGACAACGTCTGAGGCAGCGCCAACACTATAGTCTATTGCCTTTAGTTTAGTTTACGTTCCTTCCCCCAGTTCACGTTCGTTTGTCAACATGTGCCGCCGCCGCCGCTGCGTTCACCAAGTCGCGAGGTCCACGTGCAGTCGGGAGCTGGCGGCGCGGCGGCGTCCCCTGCGCAATAGAGCGGGGCCTGGCGGCGTCGGCGCCTGGGCGAGAGGGCGGCGCGCGGCGCCCGGGGCAGCGTCTTGCTCCATTGTCTCCCGCCCCTCCCCTCTCCCCCACCCGCGCCCTCGTTGCAACGGGGCCTCCCGTGCTGCAATGAGAGGAGTGGCTCCGGGCGAGAGCGAGACGAGCGGGGGCACGCGACAGCGACAAACGAAGGAGAAGGGGGTGAAAAGTTGGTGCACGGTGGGAGGAAGGAAGGTGGAGTAGAAGAGAACTGGTTGGAGCAAGAGCAGAGCAGAGAAGAAGAGACGGGAGACATTTTGAGATCAGAGCATGGAGGAGAGAAAGTGGGTGTGCAGAGCGTCGGGGGCAGGAAGAGAATGTTAGTTTACGGGAAGGCAACAAAGACGATTGAGTGGCAAAAGACAGAAGAGTGGAAGCGCATTCGTTCCGGTATAATATATAAAAATAAGTGACCATGGATTGTGTAATTTTAACTGATGGGTTGACTTTGACTGTGTATTGCTGACTAGTGAAATGTAGAAAATCAGTGACTAACAATGTAAAATTGTACAACTTAAACTATCAACTAGATCTATCACCTGGAATTTTCGTCTAGGTCACGTGGGGAACTACCCTGCCACCTGTAGGAAGCCTTTGCCCTACTTGGGATGAT